ACAAAGCCCTGCTTTGCCCTTTGGTGCCACACATTTGAGAAGTTATTCTCTTCAGAGGGAAATGTGCTATTTAACAAAATCCTTCACTGGATTTTTGTGCTAGCTCTTAAATTTCTATGACGTTTTTGCTGTTTCTCCATAGGATATTTGGGTATCTGCATTTGGATCCCAACAGATGGGAGCTGATAAATTAGGGAAGCTGTGTTTTGAAATTCAGGCTTTGTGACTCTAGAAAGGTAACAAGAAGTACATTGAACACACATTGTCACACTCAGAAACCTCTTCACACACAGAAACTTGTGATTATCACCATAGCAACGCCCAGGAAGAGTCCATCTAAGTGAGAGAAGCATATACCATGAATTTCCCCTTGCTTCCAGTGAGGTTTACTATCCACAGTGCAACCCAAAGCCTACAAAGCTTACGCTCATGACTATAATCCTAGCTACTCAAGAAGCTGATATCTGAGGATCATGGTTCAAAGCCAGACCAGACAGGCAAGTCTGTGAGACTCTGATCTCCAATTAACCACCAAAACAAAAGCCATAAGCAGAGCTAGGGCTCAAGTGGTAGATCATTAGCCTTGAGCAAAATAGCTCAGCAACAATATCCAGGCTCTGAGTTCAAACCCCAGGACCAACACCATTAAAAAAAAAAACTATAAAAATATCAGTTTTCAGAGCATTTTGTACTAGGGGAATTCTCTGGAAAAGATGAAAGACATGTTTTAAAACAAAACCAAAAATAATCAAGGTACCAATTATTGTCTAACCAATTATTAAATGTTTTTCAGGAAAAATGAGAGAACATAAAAAAGTGAGAACATACACGGGAATAAGATCTACAGGGAGGCATCAATGGCTTCAAGAGTAAAAGACAAACATAATATGCGAACAGTGGGGGTGTGAGCCTTTCCCCCTTTCCACACAAACGCTAAATATTTGGGGAGATTATCCACAAGTACCTACTGTGCTTCATTTTAGCTGAGAGACTAGGAAGGAGGGTTCTCCACTAAACTCCTAGACAGTAGCAGTAAGCTCTCAGGGGTCATCCTGGGCTTTTAAGCAACTTACCCTGAGTCACTGCAAAGCATCAACAACTCCAGAATGAAAACCATATAGTCTATGTACCTACACTTATTATGAACTTTAATTGACATAATAATATAAATCAAGCCTCTAGGATATTTAGTGGAAGGAATACAAATTTTTTTTTAAGAGGCACATATAATCCTACTCAGGAGACTGAGGTCTGTATAGGGTCGTGATTCAAGGCTGGCCCAAGCATCGAGTTCCCTGGACTCAATCTCCAAAACAACCAGCAAAATGAAGAGCTGGAGGTATGGAGGCATGGTTCAAGTACCATTTTTTAAAAAAAGCTGCAAAGGATAAAAGTCAAGCCACCTTGCCATTTACCAAGACTCTTCAGCAATATCCTCCCTAGCAGATAGCAATACCAGTTGGCACACTGCCCATGTCACAGGTAAGGAAATGCAGGCAGACATTTTGATAGCTCACCAGACCCAACCAACTATAAGTGGTTGGGTCTCTCTTTGGCTTGTGACTCAAGCCCAGGCTCTGACTCAAGGGATGCTGTTACTTGGTGATTCTTTTTTTTTTGGGGGGGGGG